ATGATATTAATAAAATATCATAATACCAAACATCATCATAATACCGAATACATCAATAAAAAAGAAAGTACATTAACCCATAATTAAACCAAAATTCTAATATACTAACCATTAATACTAATATCACATTGAAAGTATCACATAACAATACATGTACCTATCAATTTTGGATAAATATATATCTTATAGCTAATGGTTTATTACAATGTAAATCATAAAGTTTATCATTTATATACTCATACTGAAATTTTCAACTGAGAGAGACTTTGAGACGCTTCAATTTTTTTATTAATATTATAGTTTGACATATTTAAAAAATTGTCTAACTAATTCTATGGAATTTGTTGCCTAACCATCGTCCATAATTATGATTGCTCAAAGCCTGTTATGGTCGATAACTTCACTGTCAAACCATCAATTTGGCTATAGAATGGTAATAAGGCAAACACTGATATATAATTCATCCATCATCTAAGAATGCTTGAAATTTTGAACAGATGAAGGTATCATAGAGGTCTACATTGCACTGCCGAACCATAACCAGGATGTAATTAATTGCATTTATAATTTGTTATAACTTTTCTAGGAACACTGCTAAACTATGAATTTGATCGGAATTTGTATACATTGATACAATTCCATCCGATACTATATCGATCGCTTTCAGGTTATTTTTTATAGTCAAATGAAGTGTCAAACAATGAGATTTACGAATATTTCATTGGCGCAGGTCCAAAGGAAAGAATAGTAAATATTTTGTTAAACTCACAACTTAGAAAACATTATAAGGATGTCAAAATGGTTAAATCTTCGGGATGCCAATGCAATACCCACATATTGTTGAAAGAAATAAAAAACTCGATTCGTTTGTTATAATTCATTCTCATAAAATATCATAATCCAGAAAGCACACCTTTGATATATTGCCTGAGTAGTAATAAATACATAGATGATTGGGACACATGGTTGAATATCTCAAAATCACTATATATTGAATACAACCAACAAATCTTTACATCATTAAATTTCAAACCGCAAATGTTCACAATCTAGCAACACTGAACCAGAATAACCAAATCTTAGACTCACCATTACCATCATCCAGAAAAGTAACCATGACACCCTCACAACATGAATCGTTGACATCTGCAATGACCAACTCTGATACAATAAGATTCCATTCATAAATCACAAAATCGAACCTCAACTACTAGCAGATAATGCTACTTTGTGACAACAGTGCACCGAGCAACACAAAGCAATGATAGTTGAGGGCCAATTGTGTCACCTGAAAACACAGCTAGCAAAAAAAACTCATAAAAGCCTTGTTAACATAAAACAATCCATAAATGTTTCATATAGTTCAGTCCCAAAACAAATACTCACATATCGCCTGGGACAAATAGATAGCATGATAGAAAAATCAGTAAAAAAACATTTAAACAAAATACAAACCATCAACGTTTAATGTTACTCAACGTCAACAATACAAGGAAAAACTAATTGCCCATAGTATGAATATACCGACAACAAATACTCACTATTCGACAGAAACTGTAAGCCAATCGATTCATGTTATTTCATGTAGTTCACACCGATCGACTGCAACCACTAACATTCCAAATCAATAACCTTACCAAAGAATTAATAAACATAACTTGGTACAGAACACGTTGACCATTGTATGAACACGTCAACTTTTTTCCTGTAACCTGAAAATGAAATCAACAGAATCAACGAATTAACATTTCATGCCAGTCAATCGGCAGAATAGACGCAACGAAAAAATAACTCTACAAACGAAATAATAAACACATATCCTCATCCACTTGAAAACAAACACAATAAAATATAATCAATCTTCATGTCAACATCGTTAACGAACAATTATCAATTCGTATAAAAACTAGTACCTAAAAACGGAAACAACAAAAGTTAATTAATCTTCATATTAAAATTATCAAGGAACCGACTTACCATTCGGAAGGAATAACACAATTAATCATTCAAATAAATTGACCGAACAAAAACAATCATTCAATCTAACAATAACCGTTAAAATAGATAGGAGACATACTTACAGTTTCACTTTAAAATAGTTAGAAGATATACTTACAGTTCAGAAGAACAAATCAAAATAACAACTCATTTGACAGTGTCAATCATACATCCTGTCTTTATTCTATGCCGATTCATGATCTTTGACCAGTAAACAACAACAAAAACGTAAATAATAAGAAAAAAACATGAAGAGCAGACATATTATTGACACAAACTAACATGACCTATGAACAATTAACAAAAGAGTAATGCTACAGCCACCGAAGATTGCGCACCGAATCTGTGCACCGAATGACTTGACAAAATCCTAACCATTGATTTATTATCAGTTAATATTAATCAACGGTCATGATTTTGCCACGTTATTCAGTGCACAGATTCGATGCGCAACCTTCGGTGACTCTATCGTTTTCGTTAACAAAATGCCATATGTATTGTGGACACCAACTAACAAATTGCTATGATCCACAACTTAACATGCGACCTTTTTATAACCTCTTATTTAGACCTTCCGAATACCAATGCAATTAAATATAAATTCAATACGAAGAGAGTTTTCCAATGTCAATACGATGCAATAAGTAATAGCAATCTAATACACATGTGTACTTGTTATTAATTCGCATATTTGAAATGTCAATGCAATGCATCTGTGTTATTATTAATAAATATCAATCGTCAAGATTAAACAATTTGACTGGTTTGTCAATTTAATGTGTCAAAATTAAACAATTTTAAAACTTTAAAAAATGTGTTACATGGCAAACAACTCACAAGGATATAGATGACGTAATAAATACCAACCTAATCTGTTAAAATAAAGTAATTTAACTAGTTTGTCAATTTAATATGTCAAAATAGAATAATTCTATAGTTTTCAAATATATATCACATCAACCCGTATTGATATTCAACTTTATATAGAGAGAGAGAGATGTTTGGCAATCCCTCCCCCTCCATAACATTAAATTTCATTCGTACACTTGTAATCAAAGTATGGAACACTCCAGTTGTTGCCTGTTTCATATTTCCCCAACACGAGAAAAATTTTCAATTTCTCGGAAGCCCATAAAAATTAAACGAGATAGTAGAAACATATCGTAACGATATGGTGACGTGGTCCAACTCCCCAACCGCCGCCCGACCACCTCGGTAAGGTTAGGAAAAGCATACTTGGATTTTTCAATGCTGCCGTAATCATTCCCATCCATTAACTTTAATGGTCCCCACCTCCGCAATCCTTCATCATCAGACCTTCCAACGGCCTTGATCAAACCACAATAAAGCAAAGCCTCCTTTACAGGATTCCAGAAAAACTCCAATATTATTAATTCACGAGACATCACTCTTCTTGGGCCCATCTTATTGCAAACATCATCTTTTATTTACTATAAAATTTTTCAAAAAGTACTTTTAAAAATAAATAAATAAAACTGAAAATTTAACCCTTTTTTTTAATAAGAATTATAGAATATATTACTAAAAAGATTATAAATTCAAATCCCTTCTCACATGTTAATAAAAATAACTACTATTTTATCTGATCAATAGTTTTAAAGTTCTAAAAAATCAGTTGAAATATGCATAAACTGACTTAAATATTTTCGTAAAAAAAAAAATGAACATTAACTTGGTCATTAGATAAAGTTTAAAAAGAAATATACTTTTACATGTTATAATTATGGAATTAACATATTAATCCCTCTAACTCTTTATCTTTCTTTCGAAATTTATAATATTATGAAAATTTTCCCAATATGAGTAAATTTATTTGCGGAGAAATGTTAGTCATATAAATGTTTACGAGAAAACCTGAACCTAACCATTACTCTTGTGGTCCGATAGTAAAACTTTAGCCATTAACTCATTAAACTTGTAAGGTTCAAAAATTTGTTGAGATGTGTATAAATTGACTTAAATATCCCGACTAAAAAAAAAAAAAAAACCAAACCATATAAGAATAAAACAAATACTCAATCGTTTGATTAATCTTCAAATAGATTATTAACTACTTTTTTCTTAACTAATGTATTAAAATCTCTAGTATTTATGATTTCAAAACCATTTTTAATTTAATAAAAATTAACTCACGATCCAATCTTAAAATTTTTTTCTAACAATTTTAATGTGATAATTTATAATTGGTCAATTAATAATTAGGTAGGTAAGACCTATTATAGAACAGATAAAATATATTATAAATTAATACAATCAGAATTGTGAGAAAAATTTTATGAAATTGAATTACAATTGTAGGATTGCCTTTTGTCATTTTCTACCTTTCTTATGCTTTATATGTTTTTAAAAGTATTCCAAAATAATGAAAATTTAATCAAATTTAAATCCACTACTAATCAGTAATCACTCAACTAACCCACGTCCCACAATCTCACAGTACGTTGCCGTTTTTACACTAGTCAAATTATAGAGCTACGTGGGTTCCTTTCAAATAGATGTACACGTGTAAGTCACAGACGGAGATCATCCATCGCCATGTATGGATCAGAGGGTGACACGATAATCATAACCCAACTACTTCTCCACAAAATAAAAAATTTTGTTTTGTTCAGAATCAACCCACTTTTCCCGAAGATAAAGCCAATTCAAAGTTTCAATCTTTACTCAACACTTAACTGACTCACTCCATTGACTCCAATAATCATCGATCAATAATCAAATCGCCTTTTTGTTTTAAATAATTTTCATTAATTTTTGTCATCTTAAGCTAACTAAACAGTAAACACACCACTTCACCCAGCAAACATGGTTTCTTTAATTTTCTTTCATTGCATATTTTGGAAATGACAGCTGGGAATGATTATGACTTGAGAACTAGGACTCGACACTGAGAAAAGAGAAAAGGATGACAGGACTAAAGTGGGGCTCACTTCTAATGGAAGACCCCACTTGAGCAGGAATATTTCTGAAATGGGTTTTGTGTTTATGCGGTTTGTTTTGTTTTGGATTGGTTTCAGTCTGTGGAACTGCAACAAGTGACACAAAAATCGAGCAGTAAATGAAAGAAGTGATGAAATTTCTGTTTGTTTCTTGAGAAACTAAGCTAAAAACGTACTTGTGGTTAGTTTTTCAATGTATTTATCTTTACCCCTCTCTCTTTGTGGTGGTTCCTGGTTTTGTGCTCATGTAATAAAACTTGATTATGGAGTGTCATTTATGGGTTTATTTTATTACTGCATTTTGTGTCGTGGGTTATCTAGAAAAGGACCAAAGTTACAAAGCTTACAGTTTGGAGGCTTCTGGCAAGTTGCCTTTTGCGGGATCTTTTTTTTTATATCTTGGTTTTGGTTATCAACTGTATTTTTAAAGCTTTCTGGGCAGGTGTCTTTGTGCATGTGACTTTTAATGGGAATATTAATCATAATTAATGGGATTATAATCCAGTTACAGCTGTGAGCTCTCAGTCTTTTCTTTAGGTTCTTCTAGTTCAAGTTTTTATGATGATGATGTAATAGTCGACTTCTTTTTTCTCCTTAATTATCTCTTTGCTTTAGCTGAAGTCTGTCCAAGGGACTCTTCACTTTCTATATTCATTTTCTTTTGTTCTTCAAAGTTTTATTCTTATCTTTCAACTGGGTTCCTGTGAGTATAAGTTTTGAACCTTTTTAATGTTCCAGAAGTCTTTTAACAGCTCATATAGATTCTATGGCTGTGTTTGTTTATTTTATGTCTAATTGCAAAGTTAAATTTTCGGTAGATTGTACTGAATTTTGATTTATTTTCTCGTTTATTTTGCAGCTCGAAGGCAGACAGAAGACCAGCAAAATATAAAAGATTTTTTTTAATGTGATTTATATTGCTGAGAAATTGAGAGAGAATAATTAGAGAGAAAACCATTTTCAAGCATTTGTTAAAGATGAAAAGTCCTAAAGCCACAAATAGAAAAAGTTGGATGTAGTTTCATGTGACTGAAATTGTAAGTTAGTTGGCAAGCCATAAAAGTTTCAGAGAGAAGGCTTGGAGAGGCTTTCTGAGGTTCTTTACTACTTGAAATACTTTGACAAATTTTTGGTGAAGAAGGGGAAAAAATGGAGGCTCTGAACCAGAAGTCTCTTGAAAGAGTTGTATCACAGAGAGCTCTGCAAATGGGGAGTTCATTTCCGTGTCAAATTTGTGTTGTGGGTTTTCTCTGTGGAGTCTGCCTCGCCTCTTTGTTTCTTGCTACTCTGTCTTCATTTGGTAGTTTTGAGTTTGGTGGAATTTCATTTTCTTCCATTTCAATGGGAGCTCCACCTGGGAATTCAAGTTCAGAAATTATCAGTAAGTGAAATTATTTCTGCTTTGTTCTTCATTTGGAGATTTTTCTTTCTTTCTTTCTTTCTTTCTTTTGCTTCTTATTTCTGTTTTGTGGTTATGCAATCTTCAATTTCGGTTCATTTTTTTTCAACCTTTTCCTGAAAAAAATTCATCACCTTAATTACTTGAATAAAGAGGAAAGAAAATGAAGCTTCTTCTGAAAATTTTTGAGAAATCTTTGAAGTTGAATAGTTTTAGTTGGGTTTCAGTCAAGATTAAAGGCAGTTCATGGATGAGAGATTTAAAAAATAAAAAATAAAAAAATAAAAAAAATTAAAGATGGGAATGATCAAGGGGTGTGGTTAAAGCAATTTAAAGTTAAGAATAACTTATTGATTACATTTATGCTTTACTTCTCCAATTGCTTTTGCCTTGATTTGCTAAATCATACTTTTTCATAATTATTCTAATCCACAAGCTTCGCTAGATTTGCTTGGTATTGAAGCTAATCCTCTTACTTTTAGACTAATGAATGGAAAAAAAAAAAAAATGGCTCTAAAGTATTCATTAATTCATTATGAAGATGGAGATAATTGGAGACTATTTTTTAGGCTATTGAAAGTATTTTCACTTCATATTATTTTTCAAGACATCCCCTATATGATTAGTGGTTGTGGATCGATCGTCGATTTGCACTGGAAAACCTCATTGCTTACTGATAAATTATAATGCTTCACTTTTATGGTTAAAAGAAATTTTGTGAATTGAATTGTAGATGATGTTACAAGTACAGACTGCAAATTTAAATTGAAGGAAACAGAAAGACGGGTTGATTCACGTCGAAATGAAAGAGAAGCTGAGGATGAGAGAGTGTCCTTATTGTATTCAGCTTGGGGTGCTTTACTTACTGAATCAGTAATTGAAGAAAGAGAGTTTTCAAAAAGGTTTGGACTAGAAAGATCCAGTGTGCCCAATGCTCCTCATTTTGAGGACTGCAAGTTGAGTGCACGAGTTAATACACGTCTTGATGCCCGTTCTGAGAATGGGGACTTCCCGCCTTGGACAAGTTGGAAGGGACTACTGGACACGTATCCCGCATCTGCAGCAAACGAACAAATTAAACATTTTAGGCATCGAGCCATTTCGGAAGGTGCTAATCCTCCTTGGGTATGTATCTGATTTACACAATTGAATTACAATGCATGTTGCAGTAATACTTGGAAGAGTACCGCAACATTTATATTTGGTGGTTACCATTATATCGGCATGTTCACATGTCTTAACATTTGTAACCCAGCAAAGTGAGGTTGAACAACACAATGCATTTCAAAACTTGTAGTTACCATTATATCGGCATCTATTTTATTATGCATTCTAAATATGTGAGCTTGTTGCAGATTACAGGGTCAGATGAGGAAAATTATCCCCTTACTAGGAAAGTGCAACGTGACCTATGGGTCCATCAGCATCCATCAAACTGCAGTGATCCTAATGTAAGATTTCTTGTAGCTGACTGGGAAAGATTGCCCGGGTTTGGTATCGGGGCACAGATTGCTGGAATGTGTGGGCTTCTTGCTATTGCAATCACTGAAAAAAGGGTCCTTGTCACTAGTTATTTTAATCGCGCTGATCATGATGGTTGTAAAGGTATAAGGTGACAACCAATATATCTAATAGCTATCTCATTAAACTTAACAACATTTAGGAATGTATATAGATCTCTATAAGCCCTTGTACCAAAGGGTTTCAACTTAAAAAAAGGCATAATTTCCTCAGACACCGAAGTGGTGAAATCTTTGGTTGAAAAAAAGGCTTACTACTAATGTTTTAGTAGGCACTTCATTTGTTCACTGTTTTTGCAGGTTCATCTAGATCAAGTTGGTCTTGTTACTTCTTTCCTGAGACCTCGCAAGAATGTCGAAACCGTGCATTTCAGCTTATGGGCAGTAAAGAGGCATGGGAAAAAGGAATCATAACAACAAAAGACAATTATAGTTCAAAGGCAATATGGGCTGGAAGGACTCCTAGGCAAGTGATTACATGTTTAACCAATTTGTTCTTAAAAACTTTAATGAAGTTGCCATTGGAGGTCATTAATTCATTAATGTCAATATCTATAACAGGGTATGGGGTGAACCTTGGAGTTATTTGCAGCCAACAACAGAAATAAATGGCAGTCTAATTGCATATCATCGCAAAATGGATCGAAGATGGTGGAGAGCACAGGTGCGCCTTAGAATTTATCTGAAAATGAGAATTGTTTATAAAGTTAATTAAATAATACTACAATGTTTAATTAAATAATTAAAAATGGATCACGTTATTAAACATTCTATATAAAATTAATTATTTAAAATTTTAATATAAAATCAAATATTTAACTGAAGGGTGAGAATGTTGTAACTTACAATGGCAGATACAATTTTTAAATGGTTGATTCATTATAATCCAATGGTTGTGAATGGGATAGTTATTTTTTTATGTCAACTCATCAAATCTAAACCATTGGATTGAACTATTAATTAGTGTTCCAAATTTATGTCAACAAGTTAAGTCAAAATTTAAAGTTACTCTAGGCTTACTCTTTAACATATTTTGTATTATATTTTAATATTAAACTAGCTTTAACATGAATTGATTTTAATTCATTTCTTACTGACACGGACCTAATTTAGTATGGCATTACACCCATCATAGGACAATACAATATATAGTACAAGCTATACTATGTATTTCAATCTCAAAGAACTAATCTAGTCTAGTTGTGCCCAATCTAGCCTGCGAAACATTTGTTTATTTGTGATCCTACTACCATCTGATTTTTAAGAATGAAGGTCTGTTAGGGCACTTTTTGGTGATCATTTCTATAAATATTTTATCATCGGGGAACAATTCCTTTAGTAAGCAAATGGGATTTCTAATAATGATGATGTAATTCACAATTTCTTTGCGTTACTATCAGGCGGTACGCTACTTAATGAGATTTCACAGTGATTACATGTGTGGTTTGATGAATGACGCCCGCCACGCTGCATTTGGAAAGGAAGCTGCAAAAATGGTTCTTGCAAGTCTTCCCAGAGAATGGCCAAATGTTGTAAGTCTTTGAACTCTTTGTGCCATTTTATTTGCTTATCTTCTAAAGACGGAAATACAATTTTGAGTTTCATGCACTTGAAAAATACTTCTACACTGGTGCTAAAATGTATTTTAACAGTTTTGAGTAAATAATAGATATAAACTTTCATAATCACAGACAAATCAACTATAAATTTTGTAATGGGAAACCAGTAACCTATTTTACCTAGATCTCATTGTGACATTGAAGCTTATGCTCTTGTATGCTAAACATGAAAAGTTGTCGAAAATAATAATTTCCAATGAACTCTGTTATTGCAGGAAGTTACAAGCAACTCAAGATCAGATATTGAAGAGTTTGTATGGTCAAGTCACAAACCATGGATCCCAAGGCCATTGCTAAGTATGCATGTAAGAATGGGGGACAAGGCATGTGAAATGAAGGTGGTCGAATTCAAAGAGTATGTGCATCTTGCTGGTCGTGTTAGAAAGCAGTTTCCACATCTGAACAGCATTTGGCTCTCTACTGAAATGCAGGTTAGCATTTGCTACTGTTCTATCTCTCTGTATTTGATAATAGGATTGTGGCTTCTGTCTTTCTGATTCATTATCTTAAAAATCAATGATCTTGTTACATTCAGAAAGTTGTTGATAAAACAAAACAATATCCCCATTGGAACTTCTACTACACAAATGTGACGCGTCAAGTGGGAAATATTACAATGGCAAAATATGAAGCTAGTCTTGGTAGAAAAACCAGCACAAACTATCCGCTTGTAAATTTCTTGATGGCAACTGAAGCTGACTTCTTTATTGGAGCTTTGGGTTCGACATGGTGCTTTCTTATCGATGGCATGAGGAATACCGGTGGAAAAGTAATGGCCGGATACTTGAGTGTCAATAAGGACCGATTCTGGTAGAAATGAAGTGAAACACGAAGTTGTATAGCTATGTACATTAGAACAATAGTAAAAAAATCTTTTGAAAAACAAGTCAGACGTCTTCAAGACTGCGTAACTTGTAAGGAAAGAACTCTTATAACTTCCTTCCATTGGAGGCGAAGTATCTGAAAATCCTTGGTCAAAAGCTTTATGATAACAGTACAGTACTGAGAAGTGAGGAGGTTACTTGGCATCTCAAAGCTGAATCATCATCTATTCTTCAGATGAAGTACTATGGGCTGAATTCCGGCATAAATATGCGGCTTGGAAGCCAATGCTCCAATAGTATGGGAAATAATCAAACTGTATGTGGGTAGGTATTCATTTCTTGTCTAATGTTTGTATTGTACATATAATCTAATGTACATGTAGTTGAAACATAAACATATATATGTGTATCTAAAATTACCATATCCAATTTTGTATCTCCTGAATACCCTTGCCGGCTAAGACTCAAGAATAATTGCCAGAGTGTTGCCACGATTTACATGTTTTAAGAAAATAACAAATTGAAGACTCGGTTGATGTTGCAGTTTTTGAGCATGCTGATTGCTGTGAGACACGATGTAAGCAGAAAACCAGATCACATTGGACCCATTTGATGAAGAGAGATTGGAAACTCAGTGTTGAAATGAGGACACATTGGTGTGTTATTTGCTAAAAAAGGGCAGAGCCCTCTACCCATTCGTTCCTTCATTGTCCAAAGGCTTAACGGTTATGGGCGAAAGTTTATGGTGAAAGTGGTGCTCTGAAAACCGGACTGGTGGGTCTGACAGCGAACCAGCATCCTCTTCAGTCTGATTTTTCCCTGAAACTGAAGATGCAGTCAAACCAGATTGACCTGCGGTTAGACTGTTGAAATAGTGTCGAATCGCGGTTGCCCAACCGCGAGTTAATCCTGTCGGATTCCGACACCATTCGAAGGAGATAACACCATCATAAGACTCATTGGCATCTCCACAACAAAATCCTTCCATTTTCAGTGGCTGTTATCTTGTCGTTCATTGCTCGCTGTCCACCTATTGTTTGAGTGACCGAAAACCTTCCTTCTTGATTCCGGTGCCATTCGAACTCCCTGACACCACCATAAGAGTCGTTAACATCTCTTCATCAAAAGCCCCATCATTTTGAACTCTAGTGCCCAGATCTTAGGGTTGTTTTTGCTATATTTCAAACCTACAGGGACACATGAAATTTTGTAAGAGTGTTTTTACTGGATTTCAAAGCTACAAGGACTAATGTAGGATTGATGATGTCACCAATCCGATCGTTGGACGGGGCACCCTGGAACTAGGCCCTTGATAGAGTCATTGTCTTGTCTGGTTTTCAGAACATTAGAAATCAATCTCCAATGGGTGACTCCTAGATCCTGTTCAAATTTTTTATGTCTCTAAGCTGATTAAGGTGAAAAATATTTCCATGATTTCACTACTCCATCTAACAAACATGTGTTCTTTAGTTTTACTTCGTTACATGTCTTGGGAATGACAGCTAGCTATGATTAAGACTTAGAGAATTGGGATATGAGAGAGAAAACAGAAGACTTGAGTGAACTAAACATTGGGGTTAGCTTTCCAATGCCTTGATCTTTATCTATTTCTCTCTTCTCCTACTTCTGTGCCTGGGTTTGTGCTCAAATTATGGAGTCATTCATTTCTAGTTTTATTTTATTACAGCATTTTGTACTATGTGTTATATAAACAAACGAAGACTTAAGTTACAGAGCTTACAGTTTGGAGGTTTCTAACAACTTGCCTATTGCAGCATCTTTTTTAATATCTTGGTTTTTATTTTATAGTTTTCTGGGCATGTGTTTATATCTTGGTTTTGGTTATCAGGGCATGTGTCTTTGTGCATATGACTTTTAATGAAAGGCTGAATATCATTATCCCACCTTAACTTTCAAAAAAGTACCACTTGTCATCCCTGTTTTGACAAACTAGCAACTTCTTACTCATTTTTTTAACTCATCTGTTAAACTTTACGGAATATGGATATTAATGTCATTTTTCAATATATATATAAAGATGATTTATTTTTTAATTTAGGATATTTAATTGTCAGTAATAGTTTGATTTATATTTAATATTTATTTATAAGGGTAAATTTGGTATTTTATCAATTAAAGTTAGTTCAATTAAACTATCTTTGGGTGACGGAATGGTTCGATAGGGAATCTTGGGTTTATTACTTAAGAGGTCATGATTTCAAGTCTCTCTTCGGTTTCTAATATGAGTAATCACTGGAGCTCTTATCTCACTGGTAGTTCAACTTCAAGGGTCCCAAGAGATTTTTTGAAGTGCTCGTACGTTGGCTCGAACACCTCTCTGATCATCCAAAAAACAAAAAAAAAGTTAGTCCAACTATAAATTAGTTTGACAAAGATTAAAGGTGGGTAGGAAGTTGTTAGTTTCCAAAACCAGAGGTGGTAATTTAAAAGTTGAGGGGGGACAATTAATTTAGCCATAAGAAGGATTAATTAGATTATAATCCAGTTACAGCTATGAGCTCATTTCTTTAGCTTCCCTAGTGGAAGTTGGTTTGATTGATGATGTTATAGTCAACTTCTGTTTACTTCATTGTCCTTAACTGTCCTACTATCTCTTTGCTTTAACGTAAGTTTCTATCTTCAATTTTTCTTCTGCTTTTTCAAAGATTGCTTTTTATCGAGGTTCTTGTGAGTATAAATGGAGTAAAATCTCTATTCATATTTTTTCTGTTTGGAATAATTAAGTTCAGTTGTAACTTGGGAAGTCATATTTGAATTACTTGACAAATTTTGGTGAAGAAGAAGGGAAAACAAAAATGGAGGTACAGGTACTAAAACAGAAGTCTCTTGAAAGAGTTGTATCACAGAGAGCTCTGCAAATGGGGAGTTCATTTCCTTGTCAAATTTGTGTGGTGGTTCTTCTCTCCGGAGTCTGCCTCACCTCTTTGTTTCTTGCTACTCTTACTTCATTTGGTAGTTTAGAGTTTGGTGGGATTTCATTTTCTTCCATTTCAATGGGAACTCCACCTGTGAATTCAAGTTCAGACATGATCAGTAAGTGAAATGATTTCTTCTTGTGATTTTTCTCTCTTTCTTTTGTTTCTTAAATTTTATTGTAGATATGGTTACAAGTACAGACTGCAAATTTGATTCACATCGAAGTGAAAGAGAAGATGAGGATGAGAGAGTTTCGTTGTTGTATTCAGCATGGAGTGCTTTACTTACTGATCCAGTAATGGAAGAAAGAGAGTTTTTACAAAGATTTGGAATAGAAAGATCCAGTGTGCCCAATGCTCCTCATTTTGAGGACTGCAAGTTGAGTGCTAGAGTAAATACACGTCTTGATACCCGTTCTAAGAACGGAAACTTCCCTCCATGGACAAGCTGGAAGGGACGACTGGACATGTATGCAGCATCGGAGGCCAATGAACAAATTCAACAATTTAGGCATCGTGACATTTCGGAAGGTGTTTATCCTCCTTGGGTATGAATATCATTAAGGCTTTTAAATTGGATTTGTCGTTTGCGTTAAATTTTTATGTTGAAATGAGGACCCATTGGTGTGTTATTTGCGAAAAAGAGGCAGAGCCCTCTGCCCATTCGTTCGTTCATTGTCCAATGGCTTCATGGTTACGGGCGAAAGTTTATAGTGAACTTGGTGTTTTGAAAACCGGACTGACCGATCTGACCGGGAATCAGCGTCCTCTCCGATCCAATTGTTCCCTGAAACTGAAGATGGCAGTTAAACCAGATTGACCTGCAATTGGACCGTCGAAATAGTGCAGAATCGCGATCCAACCACAAGTTAATCCTACTTGATTCCGACATCGCTCGATGGAGATAGCACCACCATAAGACTCGTTGGCATCTCCACAACAAAACCCTTCCATTTTCAGTGGCCACCATTCTACCGTTCGTCACTCATCGTCCACTTTTTATTTGCACGATCGACAGCCTTCCTTCTTGATTTCGATGCCGTTCGAACTCCTTGACACCACCATAAGAGTCATTGATATCTCTACATCAAAAGCCCCATCATTTCGAACTCTAGCAATTGCCCAAATCTTAGGGTTGTTTTTGCTATATTTCAACCTATAGGGACGCATGAAATTTTGTAGGGGTTTTTTTACTGGACTTCAAACCTACAAGGACTAATGAGAGATTGATGATGTCCCCAGTCTGATCGATCGGTTGGACCAGGCAACCTGGGAACCAAACCATTGACAAGGTCAATGCCCGGTCCAGTTTTCAGAACATTAGAAACCAATCTCCAATGGGTGACTCCTAGATCTTGTTCAAAAAATTTATGTTTCTAAGCTAATTAAGGTGAAAAATATTTCCATGATTTCACTACTCCATTCAACAAACATGTGTTCTTTAGTTTTACTTCGTTACATGTCTTGGGAATGACAGCTAGCTATGATTAAGACTAGAGAATTGGGATATGAGAGAGAAAACAGAAGACTTGAGTGAACTAAACATTGGGGTTAGCTTTCCAATGCCTTGATCTTTATCTATTTCTCTCTTCTCCTACTTCTGTGCCTGGGTTTGTGCTCAAATTATGGAGTCATTCATTTCTAGTTTTATTTTATTACAGCATTTTGTACTATGTGTTATATAAACAAACGAAGACTTAAGTTACAGAGCTTACAGTTTGGAGGTTTCTAACAACTTGCCTATTGCAGCATCTTTTTTAATATCTTGGTTTTTATTTTACAGTTTTCTGGGCATGTGTTTATATCTTGGTTTTGGTTATCAGGGCATGTGTCTTTGTGCATATGACTTTTAATGAAAGGCTGAATATCATTATCCCACCTTAACTTTCAAAAAAGTACCACTTGTCATCCCTGGTTTGACAAACTAGCAACTTCTTACTCATTTTTTTAACTCATCTGTTAAACTTTACGGAATATGGATATTAATGTCATTTTTCAATGTATATATAAAGATGATTTATTTTTTAATTTAGGATATTTCATTGTTAGTAATAGTTTGATTTATATTTAATATTTATTTATAAGGGTAAATTTGGTATTTTATCAATTAAAGTTAGTTCAATTAAACTATCTTTGGGTGACGGAATGGTTCGATAGGTAATCTTGGGTTTATTACTTAAGAGGTCATGATTTCAAGTCTCTCTTCGGTTTCTAATATGAGTAATCACTGGAGCTCTTATCTCACTGGTAGTTCAACTTCAAGGGTCCCAAGAGATTTTTTGAAGTGCTCGTACGTTGGCTCGAACACCTCTCTGATCATCCAAAAAACAAAAAAAAAGTTAGTCCAACTATAAATTAGTTTGACAAAGATTAACGGTGGGTAGGAAGTTGTTAGTTTCCAAAACCAGAGGTGGTAATTTAAAAGTTGAGGGGGGACAATTAATTTAGCCATAAGAAGGATTAATTAGATTATAATCCAGTTACAGCTATGAGCTCATTTCTTTAGCTTCCCTAGTGGAAGTTGGTTTGATTGATGATGTTATAGTCAACTTCTGTTTACTTCATTGTCCTTAACTGTCCTACTGTCTTTTTGCTTTAACTTAAGTTTCTATCTTCAATTTTTCTTCTGTTTTTTCGAAGACTGCTTTTTATTGAGGTTCTTGTGAGTATAAATGGAGTAAAATCTCTATTCATATTTTTTCTGTTTGGAATAATTAAGTTCAGTTGTAACTTGGGAAGTCATATTTGAATTACTTGACAAATTTTGGTGAAGAAGAAGGGAAAACAAAAATGGAGGTACAGGTACTAAAACAGAAGTCTCTTGAAAGAGTTGTATCACAGAGAGCTCTGCAAATGGGGAGTTCATTTCCTTGTCAAATTTGTGTGGTGGTTTTTCTCTCCGGGGTCTGCCTCACCTCTTTGTTTCTTGCTACTCTTACTTCATTTGGTAGTTTAGAGTTTGGTGGGATTTCATTTTCTTCCATTTCAATGGGAACTCCACCTGTGAATTCAAGTTCAGACATGATCAGTAAGTGAAATGATTTCTTCTTGTGATTTTTCTCTCTTTCTTTTGTTTCTTAAATTTTATTGTAGATATGGTTACAAGTACAGACTGCAAATTTGATTCACATCGAAGTGAAAGAGAAGATGAGGATGAGAGAGTTTCGTTGTTGTATTCAGCATGGAGTGCTTTACTTACTGATCCAGTAATGGAAGAAAGAGAGTTTTTACAAAGATTTGGAATAGAAAGATCCAGTGTGCCCAATGCTCCTCATTTTGAGGACTGCAAGTTGAGTGCTAGAGTAAATACACGTCTTGATACCCGTTCTAAGAACGGAAACTTCCCTCCATGGACAAGCTGGAAGGGACGACTGGACATGTATGCAGCATCGGAGGCCAATGAACAAATTCAACAATTTAGGCATCGTGACATTTCGGAAGGTGTTTATCCTCCTTGGGTATGAATATCATTAAGGCTTTTAAATTGGATTTGTCGTTTGCGTTAAATTTTTAATTTTTTTTCTTTTTTATCACCATGGGTGTCCTTGTCAGTTTATGCGCACCTCAACTAATCTCTTGAGGTCCTTGAACTGTCGATCGTTTAAAAGCCTCAGTGGTTATCCTATTAATGTCTGGAGAGACTTGAACTCAAGATTTCATAGAACTTTCTTTTGCTTTTTTATCATTAGACCACTCAGTAATAGTTAATTTTTAAGTTGGTTTTGTCGTTGGAAGCGTAATATGATACATGTAAAATTATTAAACTAACCCCAAGGGATAGGCCTGGCGGTCAATGAGGTTTGCTCCCTTCTTTGACTTTTTAGGTTCGAACCTTGAGGTCATCTATCGCATTGTGACTTTTCCACATTGTGACTTACCCGATCCTTTGGGTTTATAGGGTGTTCAAGAGACCCTGAAATGCACGTAAACTGGCCCGAATACCCTGATTACCAAAAAAAAAAAAAAAAATTACTAAACTACGTATTTATTTTAACAAGTTTTTTTTTTTTTTAAATTTCTCAAATATATTAACAATTAATTTTTTACGTAAGAAAAAGCAAGGTTGAACAATGCAATGCATTTCAGGACTTATAATAGTTTTTACCAGCTTCTGTTTGAATATGCATTCCAAATATTTGAGCTTCTTGTTGTAGATTACAGGGTCAGACGAGGATAATTATCCCCTTACCAGGAAAGTGCAACGGGATTTATGGGTTTATCAGCATCCATCAAACTGCAGTGATCCTGGTGTAAGATTTCTGGTAGCAGACTGGGAAAGATCAGCCGTCTATGGAATCGGGGCACAGATTGCTGCAATGGTTGGGCTTTTTGCTACAGCAATCAATGAAAAAAGGGTGCTTGTCACAAACTATTATAATCGAGCGGATCATGATGGTTGTAAAGGTATAAATAATTAAGGTGACAATCAATTTATCTATTCCTTTTATATATATACTCGTTAAATTTTACAACATTCTTCAAGGTGTCAGATGATTAATTAAAATACGTACAAACTAGTCTGAATAACCCCAATCACCCCACAAAAAAAAAAAAAAAATTTTAACAGTTAGTAATCTATATAGATTTCTATGAGCCTATAATATTTAATGCCATTTTCATAAATGATTTAAGGTATTGCTAAATGTCATGTTTTTATGTTGATTTATATAAACATCGATAAATTTGCAAGATCGATTATTTTTATTTGTAATATTAAGTTTCAATTTATCTTTATTAACAATATTTTAATTTATCTTCACTTCATCAGATATTAATTAATATTAGAAAATTATAAGAATCAATAATAGTATTAAAATTACTTTATAAAATTTTGGGTGGCCAAAGTTTGTAATGGTCTAATATCTCATAAAATGGATTTATTTCATCTGCTCTGGGGTGATATTGGATTCAAAATTAGGGGTGTATAAAGAATTGGCCGGAACTAGAACCGACGAATACTCGGGGTTTCAGTTTCGATTCTAACCTGAAACCGACCCTCACAGGGTAGGTTCCGGTTCTAGAAATCAGGAATCAGCCGGTTTCTGAACCAAAACCAAGATCTGAGTACTTAGGTAGGAAGCAGGAATCATGACTGAATTGCATTTTTTGTAAACTGTTATAATTTTAGAGGGTTTATTTGTCATTTTTTAAAAGTATGGACTAATTAAATTAAGCTGGGTATTGAAACCAGAACCTATGTTTTAGGTTTCGCTTCTTAGCTTCTAGAAACCAGAACCGACCGATTCTGATTCCTTTGAATTGGGGCGGTACCCAGACTCGCCCACCCCCAATCAAAATACTCTAATGATTTTCAGAAAGTATTAAATATCTCTTAAAATTACCAAAATCCCCACAAAAAATAAAATAAAATAAATCGTCCTAATCCTTTACAAATATGTGAACAAAAAAGTAATACTAGTCTTACAAAGAGGCATACAAAGAGTCATACAAAGAGTCAAATCCAACCTTTGAAAGATCTCTCTCTCTTTTTCTAATCTTTCAAGGACTGGATTTGACTCTTTGTATAACTCTTTGTATGCCTCTTTGTAAGGCTAATATTACTCGAAGAAAAACTCGTATGGGTTTGATAAAGAGACTTTGAACTATCATTTTAGCGGGCACTTAATTTGTTCAATGTTTTTGCAGGTTCATCTAGATCAAGTTGGTCTTGTTACTTCTTTCCTGAGACCTCCCAAGAATGCCGAGGCCGTGCATTTGAGCTTATGCGCAGTAAAGAGGCATTGGAGAAAGGAATCTTAACAACTAAACGCAATTATTCTTCAAAGCAAATGTGGGCCGCAAGGACTCCAAGGCAAGTGATTTCATTACATGTCTTTCATACAAAAACTTTTACCAATTCATCAATGTCAATATCTTATACAGGGAATGGGGTGAACCTTGGAGTTATTTGCAGCCAACAACAGAAGTAAACGGCAGTCTGATCACTTATCATCGCAAAATGGATCGAAGATGGTGGAGAGCACAGGTGCGCCTTAGAATATGCATCTCAAAATGGGAATTGTTTTTATATGTAAATATTCAATTGCTTTCTATATTTACTGTCAGGCGGTACGCTACTTAATGAGATATAAGAGTGATTACATGTGTGGTTTGATGAATGACGCCCGCCATGCTGCGTTTGGAAAGGAAGCTGCAAAAATGGTTCTTGCAAGTCTTCCCAGAGAATGGCCAAAGGTTTTTTTAAGTCTTTCAATTCAACTCTGCCATTTCATTTGCCTATTTTGTAAAGAAGGAAGTTGTTTAAAATGATAAAATCTCCAATGAACTCCGTTATTGCAGGAAGTTATAAGCAACTCAAGATCGGATATTGAAGAGTTTGTATGGTCAAGTCACAAACCATGGATCCCAAGGCCATTGTTGAGTATGCATGTAAGAATGGGCGACAAGGCGTGTGAAATGAAGGTGGTCGAATTCGAAGAGTATGCGCGTCTTGCTGATCATGTTAGAAAGTACTTTCCGCATCTCAACAGCATTTGGCTCTCCACTGAAATGCAGGTTAGCGGCTTGCCATTGTAGTTTAAAAAATTGTCCACTTTGCTTCTAGTCCATACGGGTTTATTTTTAGATTCCCGGAAAAGTCTTTCACCCAAGAAGTGTCCTATTTAATAATGGGTATTCAAACTTTGTAAACCAGTATTTTAAAACCTGGCCCAGCCTGGCTGGTTCAATTAGGACTCCGGCCTTCACCAGGCTAAGTTACCAATTTTACTATTTATAGAAAACCCTAGAAATTAGGACGACAATTGATGGACAATACGTGGCTAGGATATTGGGGGTTTTGAAGAGAATGGCCGGTGAGTCAAAAGGTGGTGATGAAGATGATTTCCAGTAAGTGAAACAATTAGAAATCGCAAAAATAAATAGACAACAACAGCAGGCTATTGCTTGTGTTTGGTGAGGTGAATGGAGGTGACATGAGATGGGTTTTGGTTAGGAGGTTGAGGAGAGAGTTTTCATGGTGATGGGGTGTGTTTTCAACGTTGAAAACAGGGCCTGTTTGGCCTAGGTTGTCAACGTCGATGATGTAATTTGAAGTGTTTTTGTAAGATTTTAAACTTGCAGAGACTTATAGTTAATTTTTAAGGGTATTTTTGTTAATTTCAAACTTTTTTAGATGCTGAAGTCACTGGTTTGATCAATCGGTCAAACCAGTTCAACCGATCAACCCAGAACCCTGCTACTTTGCCAGGTTTCACCCCAATCCAAGTTTTAAAACCTTGTTGTAAACTAAATATTATACCCGTTCACCATAAGTGGAATGTGACGGTCTCTTTGTTTGATAGTTTCTGATATCTTATCTTATATATCAATGATTATATAACTTTCAGGAAGTCGTTGATAAAACAAAACTATATCCCTATTGGAAATTCTACTACACAAACGTAACGCGTCAAGTGGGAAACATAGCAATGGGCAAATATGAAGCAAGTCTTGGAAGGGAAACCAGCACAAACTATCCTTTTGTAAATTTCTTGATGGCAACTGAAGCTGACTTCTTTATTGGAGCTTTGGGTTCGACATGGTGTTTTTTTATCGATGGCATGAGGAATACTGGCGGAAAAATAACGGCCGGATACTTGAGCGTCAATAAGGATCGGCTCTGGTGAGAAATGAAAATGAAACATGTATCATCTAATATCCGGCGATGAACTGCAATTTCTGTTATATGAATAATGAGATGGGCTTATTACCTGCAATTTTTGCTCAAAGATATCTCGTTTCTATATCAATAAACAATTAAACAGTCAAGAACAATCAAAACGAAAGGGGGATGACATTGCAATTTGCTATGTAGTCTTACACGTCCCATGAGTAATAAAAACCTAATTTAGCTCCCTCTGGATGTTCATGGCAACCAATTAAGTAATAAAAGCAAATCCAGTATGTATTATCATCCATCGTTTTCCTTCCTTGACAAATGAAAAAAAAAAAAAACTAAAAAGAAGGGTGTGTTATTGGCTACAATGATGAAAAAGGAATACCAATCACAAAAATGTAAATTTGATGATCATCGACTTAGATACAACAATTTTGAGTCTAAGAAAGGCTAAAATGGAAACAAACAATTAACCAAACGAGGAGATTCTGCTCCTCTCCAATTTCACATCACATGACAATACAAGAAGCGATCATGTAAACATTATCCTGTAAATCCTCCGCCAGACAGTCCTAAAAATAAGAATAAATGTCAGATGGGCACAGGAAGCAGCACTTACCTCCTCCTTTCCCCGCTAAGCACCTTGAAACCGAACGGTATAGAGAGGTTTTCTGTGCAACTATTCTTTCACATCTTCACTCAACTGATGTCCCCAATCACCACCTGTGTTAAAAAGTACAATGAGAATTCCTATGTGATTATTCTTCCACTTCTTCACTTGTCTGATGTACCCCATCGCCACTTTTGGCTGTTGCTGCCTGTTTCTTGTGTTTCTTGTTCTTGGCTTTCTTGGCTTTCATGCGGCGCTTCTTCTCATTGGCATCAACCCAGGTATAGTCAGATGGTACGAGGAAAGGATCAATATCATCCTTATACCGGTGACTATCACTATCACTTGATTGGCCACCACGACTCCCTCTCATCCATGAAATCCAAGAGGAGGATCCTTCTGATTCTTTTGACTTGGAATCCTGGAAATGTGCCGGGCTAGAGAGAGGAGTTGAAAATTCCTCCAGTGGCTGCAGCTCCTCAAATTTTGTAAAAGTAACAAGGACCCGAATAGTTGGAACAATAGGGATAGCAACCTGCACTAGGGAAAATCAAAGATTATCACAATGTTCAAAAGAGAGTCCAGAGCACAAAAGATTAAATGCGCGATATATTCCTTTAGAACACTGGTTATAAAATTGGTATAAGATGAACAAAAATTCAATTAAACTGAATTATAAGTACAACAATTTTGTAAATGCCGGTTTCATGGAAAATAATCCAGAAGCGTTATATTAGTTTGATATGAACACAGCAACTCAACTTCATTTTAAACACAGATCACGACCCATTAGACAGGCACAGTAGTTTACACTTCCAAGATCATTACATAAAACAATTATCATCTGATATACAAATAGCAGTTAAAAATAACCACAGTAGTGAACCCTGACCATAAGCAATTGTTGCATTCTCCTAAAAGAGAAACTATAGAACCATCCGAAAAGGAGAACCAAAGTTTTTTACTTCGATCTTTTAGAAATTTTTTACAAGTAGCTGCAACTACCATGGACTCCCAAAAATATTTGCACACACAGTACAAGACATGAAGTAGATATCCAAGTTCATAAAAAATTATTTGTTAATGCACATCAGGCCAAGCCAGAGTCCAGACCAAGCCAAAAGCAGCCTATCTCAAACCAGGTCAACAATCTATATGAAGGCATAACTTGGTCTTAACAACCAAAAAGAAAACAGAGCCAACTACCAACAACGATATAGTTCTGGCTGGTCCAAGCTTTATTGGGCAAAAACAGTTGTTATGCATGACGATACAATTCAGAGGTCCCTGAGCTAAATTCCTTTTAACTGAAGCCACAAAATTCATTAAGCTTGCGTCTCATTTCAGTTATATAATTACTCAAATTGACCTAAATAGCTCTTGAAGCATGTATATACTGTATTGTGTCACATGACAATGGAAGCAACTGCTCATAGCATGTATCTGATCTTAGGCCAGAATGCATGTAGCAATTCAGGTCACTGGTCAGACATGAATAGGAATTAAGATGTGCCAACACTGGTTCAGAAACTGCTCAAACTCAACTTTATGGGTCAAAGATTAACACTTGGGTAACTGGACTCATGAGAACAAAAGGTAAAGATCACCCGCAACAAGCTAATAAAGGATTGATCTTTAACTTGCAGCTGAGTGGAAGTTGCTCCTGGTTTTGCCCAAACCAAATGCACAGTCCATATTAATAGTCAACAATAATGACTCAGCCCAAGGATAAAATTACTGAAAAGACACTTCCAACCCCAAAAGCTAATGCACATACCGGATCCAAGATAGCTTCAAAGACCCATTCATTTGTCTCCAGTCCCAAGACAACTTTTTTTTTAACTTTAGAGAAACAGAATCATCTTTGAACCACTTAGCTTATGTATCAGGAATCCTGAATATTGTTACCCAGAAAAACAGATAGGATAAAGCATGTGTCCCACTCTTATCCTCCAACTGCCCTTCCCAAAAAAGTAATAACAGTAAATAATTGCATTTAAAAAAAATATAACTTGTTTATGGGACAAAGTAATCAGGTTATCCATCCTAACAGCAGCAGACAGTAACAGAAACGCATAAGAGGAGAATTGCAAAATCAACCATATTTAAGGTAAACATACAAGATAAAATATCCCAGATTACCTTGACAGGAAATGTTCCATGAGGCAGCTTGGTGGTCAAAAGCTCCCTGAGTCTCCTAACAGCCTTGACCTTGTTGGCTAATATGTCAAGTAAAGGCAGGAGCTCATCCGTTTTTAGAGGGAAATCTGGTGTCAACCAGAGGACAGGTCTCAAACCTTTTTTATATTCGCTCTCATTCTTAGATTCACCACCGGGTCCTTTCTTCTTTTTCTTCTTGCTGCTTTTGTCCTTTCCCTTCTTTAAATCACCCACATCCTCCCTCAGATATTCAGATGAAGATCTTTGATTAGCAGCCAGCTTCTGGTTGCTACCTTCTGGAGCCAACTTCGAGAACTTCTTCAAGAGTTTCGAATCCTCAGGATCATCACTGTTGTTCTTGGTACCTTTCTTGTTCCAACCAAACCAACTCTTCTTTTCCTTAGCAGCACTATCAGATTCACCATTTTCATAGGGACCTCCTGAACCATTTTCTTGAGAGCCAGGGACCCCATGTTCATCATCCTCACAAGGACCATCAGGGTTCCCCATACGAAGTGCAGAATCCAATTGCATCCTTTCCTCAGCTGTCAATACATCATCATACTCCTCATTATCACCACCATTTGCTAACCTTTCTTCATCTTCCACGGCAAAAAGCTCTTCATCAGTCATAGCACCCGGAACCCGCCTTGACTTCACACTAACCATCACATGGAGCATATCATAAACTTTGGCCTTCCAATTTCCAACCATCTCAGTCCTCTCCTGTCGCCTCCAATTCAAGTGGGAAACAAGCTCAGCCTGAGTGACATCAATGCCAGGCCGATACATGTTAGTTTGAGACATCAAGGCCACTTCATGGGCAACTTCTGATTCTGTTGGCTGTGCACCTGCCCCTTCCAGAGCATTTGTGATTTCTTTCTCCTTATGGGAAAGAACAATCAAAGAACCAGGTGGCAAAGTTACATTACCATCCTCTGACGTATAGCCCTCCCCCAAAAAGAGAAATGTTTGGTCCGACCGTTGAATGCGAAATCCATCAAATCCAGCAAGGGTCATATCCGCACGGAGATTGGATCCACGCTTCCAAATGCGGTAAGTATCAGATGGGGCAATGCGACCAATAAACGGAATGACTGAGCTCTCAAAATGGAAGGTTATCTCCATGTAAAAATCACGGATACGATTCGCTGAGGCAACAATACGTGGAAGTCTTCGACACCATTTTGCCCAGGCAAGAGGCTGATAATGCCTAGCAATAATCATGGCTATCGATTCCTCTCTTGTGCAAACAGCTTCTTGCAAAGCACTCCAACCATTCTCATTCTGAAGGCTCCAATCTGCCCCAGCTGCCATCAAAATCTCCGCAGAGATTGGATCCCGCAGCCTGACAGCAAGGTGCAAAGGGGTTTCACGTCCAGGAACATCCCGGCGATCAATGACAGCCGCGACAGCATCAGCTTGGAGCTCAGCAGCAAGAGAATCCTCTTCTGTATTAACCTCCCCAGCCTTGGAAAGCCGTGGGAGGTTAGCAATGATGCGCCTCAGGGAAGCATAGTCTCGGCGTGCAACTGCTAAATGAGCAGGACTATGGACATATTTGGTAAAATCTTCCATTGAATTTTTTTTTCCCCAATTCACTTTCTAACTCCACTTCTAAGCAGTAATTTCGCCCATTTGGGTAAAGCAAATGACAAAAGCTAACAAGACAATTCTAATGACATCCACTCATAGCTGTATCCTCAAACCAAGATTAGGGTTTTAAACAATCAAACTGCAAGAACTTAAACAGCTCTAAAAAATAAATCAGTAACGTCTCAAAAGGTTAAGATTCACACAACTTCAATTAAAAGACTAAAAATGTCTTATCTTCTTCGTATTCCTCAACTTTCTTTCCTTTTCTCAGCTCCCAAACACTCGTATCATACTTCAATTACCTGGCTTTGAGCTCCACAGAATGCACTTCAGCTTCTACAGAGCTCAAATCTGCCAAAATTAAAACTAAAAAAAAAAAAAAAAAGAACTACAAATAAGTCCAAATCTAACAAAAAACACCTTCAAGAAACAATCATTTTCTTTTCTTTTTTCATTTTGTTGACCTCAATTTTCGTAGGAAACAAACAGAAATTGCTGAGCACAAGAAAATACCTGAGAGAGGAGGATAATTTTGAGGCGATCCCCATTAAACAGTCAAGAACAATCAAAACGAAAGGGGGATGACATTGCAATTTGCTATGTAGTCTTACACGTCCCATGAGTAATAAAAACCTAATTTAGCTCCCTCTGGATGTTCATGGCAACCAATTCAGTAATAAAAGCAAATCCAGTATGTATTATCATCCATCGTTTTCCTTCCTTGACAAATGAAAAAAAAAAAAAAAAAACTAAAAAGAAGGGTGTGTTATTGGCTACAATGATGAAAAAGGAATACCAATCACAAAAATGTAAATTTGATGATCATCGACTTAGATACAACAATTTTGAGTCTAAGAAAGGCTAAAATGGAAACAAACAATTAACCAAACGAGGAGATTCTGCTCCTCTCCAATTTCACATCACATGACAATACAAGAAGCGATCATGTAAACATTATCCTGTAAATCCTCCGCCAGACAGTCCTAAAAATAAGAATAAATGTCAGATGGGCACAGGAAGCAGCACTTACCTCCTCCTTTCCCCGCTAAGCACCTTGAAACCGAACGGTATAGAGAGGTTTTCTGTGCAACTATTCTTTCACATCTTCACTCAACTGATGTCCCCAATCACCACCTGTGTTAAAAAGTACAATGAGAATTCCTATGTGATTATTCTTCCACTTCTTCACTTGTCTGATGTACCCCATCGCCACTTTTGGCTGTTGCTGCCTGTTTCTTGTGTTTCTTGTTCTTGGCTTTCTTGGCTTTCATGCGGCGCTTCTTCTCATTGGCATCAACCCAGGTATAGTCAGATGGTACGAGGAAAGGATCAATATCATCCTTATACCGGTGACTATCACTATCACTTGATTGGCCACCACGACTCCCTCTCATCCATGAAATCCAAGAGGAGGATCCTTCTGATTCTTTTGACTTGGAATCCTGGAAATGTGCCGGGCTAGAGAGAGGAGTTGAAAATTCCTCCAGTGGCTGCAGCTCCTCAAATTTTGTAAAAGTAACAAGGACCCGAATAGTTGGAACAATAGGGATAGCAACCTGCACTAGGGAAAATCAAAGATTATCACAATGTTCAAAAGAGAGTCCAGAGCACAAAAGATTAAATGCGCGATATATTCCTTTAGAACACTGGTTATAAAATTGGTATAAGATGAACAAAAATTCAATTAAACTGAATTATAAGTACAACAATTTTGTAAATGCCGGTTTCATGGAAAATAATCCAGAAGCGTTATATTAGTTTGATATGAACACAGCAACTCAACTTCATTTTAAACACAGATCACGACCCATTAGACAGGCACAGTAGTTTACACTTCCAAGATCATTACATAAAACAATTATCATCTGATATACAAATAGCAGTTAAAAATAACCACAGTAGTGAACCCTGACCATAAGCAATTGTTGCATTCTCCTAAAAGAGAAACTATAGAACCATCCGAAAAGGAGAACCAAAGTTTTTTACTTCGATCTTTTAGAAATTTTTTACAAGTAGCTGCAACTACCATGGACTCCCAAAAATATTTGCACACACAGTACAAGACATGAAGTAGATATCCAAGTTCATAAAAAATTATTTGTTAATGCACATCAGGCCAAGCCAGAGTCCAGACCAAGCCAAAAGCAGCCTATCTCAAACCAGGTCAACAATCTATATGAAGGCATAACTTGGTCTTAACAACCAAAAAGAAAACAGAGCCAACTACCAACAACGATATAGTTCTGGCTGGTCCAAGCTTTATTGGGCAAAAACAGTTCTTATGCATGAGGATACAATTCAGAGGTCCTTGAGCTAAATTCCTTTTAACTGAAGCCACAAAATTCATTAAGCTTGCGTCTCAATTCAGTTATATAATTACTCAAATTGACCTAAATAGCTCTTGAAGCATGTATATACTGTATTGTGTCACATGACAATGGAAGCAACTGCTCATAGCATGTATCTGATCTTAGGCCAGAATGCATGTAGCAATTCAGGTCACTGGTCAGACATGAATAGGAATTAAGATGTGCCAACACTGGTTCAGAAACTGCTCAAACTCAACTTTATGGGTCAAAGATTAACACTTGGGTAACTGGACTCATGAGAACAAAAGGTAAAGATCACCCGCAACAAGCTAATAAAGGATTGATCTTTAACTTGCAGCTGAGTGGAAGTTGCTCCTGGTTTTGCCCAAACCAAATGCACAGTCCATATTAATAGTCAACAATAATGACTCAGCCCAAGGATAAAATTACTGAAAAGACACTTCCAACCCCAAAAGCTAATGCACATACCGGATCCAAGATAGCTTCAAAGACCCATTCATTTGTCTCCAGTCCCAAGACAACTTTTTTTTTAACTTTAGAGAAACAGAATCATCTTTGAACCACTTAGCTTATGTATCAGGAATCCTGAATATTGTTACCCAGAAAAACAGATAGGATAAAGCATGTGTCCCACTCTTATCCTCCAACTGCCCTTCCCAAAAAAGTAATAACAGTAAATAATTGCATTTAAAAAAAATATAACTTGTTTATGGGACAAAGTAATCAGGTTATCCATCCTAACAGCAGCAGACAGTAACAGAAACGCATAAGAGGAGAATTGCAAAATCAACCATATTTAAGGTAAACATACAAGATAAAATATCCCAGATTACCTTGACAGGAAATGTTCCATGAGGCAGCTTGGTGGTCAAAAGCTCCCTGAGTCTCCTAACAGCCTTGACCTTGTTGGCTAATATGTCAAGTAAAGGCAGGAGCTCATCCGTTTTTAGAGGGAAATCTGGTGTCAACCAGAGGACAGGTCTCAAACCTTTTTTATATTCGCTCTCATTCTTAGATTCACCACCGGGTCCTTTCTTCTTTTTCTTCTTGCTGCTTTTGTCCTTTCCCTTCTTTAAATCACCCACATCCTCCCTCAGATATTCAGATGAAGATCTTTGATTAGCAGCCAGCTTCTGGTTGCTACCTTCTGGAGCCAACTTCGAGAACTTCTTCAAGAGTTTCGAATCCTCAGGATCATCACTGTTGTTCTTGGTACCTTTCTTGTTCCAACCAAACCAACTCTTCTTTTCCTTAGCAGCACTATCAGATTCACCATTTTCATAGGGACCTCCTGAACCATTTTCTTGAGAGCCAGGGACCCCATGTTCATCATCCTCACAAGGACCATCAGGGTTCCCCATACGAAGTGCAGAATCCAATTGCATCCTTTCCTCAGCTGTCAATACATCATCATACTCCTCATTATCACCACCATTTGCTAACCTTTCTTCATCTTCCACGGCAAAAAGCTCTTCATCAGTCATAGCACCCGGAACCCGCCTTGACTTCACACTAACCATCACATGGAGCATATCATAAACTTTGGCCTTCCAATTTCCAACCATCTCAGTCCTCTCCTGTCGCCTCCAATTCAAGTGGGAAACAAGCTCAGCCTGAGTGACATCAATGCCAGGCCGATACATGTTAGTTTGAGACATCAAGGCCACTTCATGGGCAACTTCTGATTCTGTTGGCTGTGCACCTGCCCCTTCCAGAGCATTTGTGATTTCTTTCTCCTTATGGGAAAGAACAATCAAAGAACCAGGTGGCAAAGTTACATTACCATCCTCTGACGTATAGCCCTCCCCCAAAAAGAGAAATGTTTGGTCCGACCGTTGAATGCGAAATCCATCAAATCCAGCAAGGGTCATATCCGCACGGAGATTGGATCCACGCTTCCAAATGCGGTAAGTATCAGATGGGGCAATGCGACCAATAAACGGAATGACTGAGCTCTCAAAATGGAAGGTTATCTCCATGTAAAAATCACGGATACGATTCGCTGAGGCAACAATACGTGGAAGTCTTCGACACCATTTTGCCCAGGCAAGAGGCTGATAATGCCTAGCAATAATCATGGCTATCGATTCCTCTCTTGTGCAAACAGCTTCTTGCAAAGCACTCCAACCATTCTCATTCTGAAGGCTCCAATCTGCCCCAGCTGCCATCAAAATCTCCGCAGAGATTGGATCCCGCAGCCTGACAGCAAGGTGCAAAGGGGTTTCACGTCCAGGAACATCCCGGCGATCAATGACAGCCGCGACAGCATCAGCTTGGAGCTCAGCAGCAAGAGAATCCTCTTCTGTATTAACCTCCCCAGCCTTGGAAAGCCGTGGGAGGTTAGCAATGATGCGCCTCAGGGAAGCATAGTCTCGGCGTGCAACTGCTAAATGAGCAGGACTATGGACATATTTGGTAAAATCTTCCATTGAATTTTTTTTTCCCCAATTCACTTTCTAACTCCACTTCTAAGCAGTAATTTCGCCCATTTGGGTAAAGCAAATGACAAAAGCTAACAAGACAATTCTAATGACATCCACTCATAGCTGTATCCTCAAACCAAGATTAGGGTTTTAAACAATCAAACTGCAAGAACTTAAACAGCTCTAAAAAATAAATCAGTAACGTCTCAAAAGGTTAAGATTCACACAACTTCAATTAAAAGACTAAAAATGTCTTATCTTCTTCGTATTCCTCAACTTTCTTTCCTTTTCTCAGCTCCCAAACACTCGTATCATACTTCAATTACCTGGCTTTGAGCTCCACAGAATGCACTTCAGCTTCTACAGAGCTCAAATCTGCCAAAATTAAAACTAAAAAAAAAAAAAAAAAGAACTACAAATAAGTCCAAATCTAACAAAAAACACCTTCAAGAAACAATCATTTTCTTTTCTTTTTTCATTTTGTTGACCACAATTTTCGTATGAAACAAACAGAAATTACTGAGCACAAGAAAATACCTGAGAGAGGAGGATAATTTTGAGGCGATCGAGTAAGTGAGTTGTTAGCAATAGCGAAAGCTCAGATTGATTTAGGTTCAAAAAATTTCAGGTAGAGAAAGAGAGAGAGAAAGAGAGAGGGAAAATAATCAGAGGGTTGGTGATGAAATGGAAGAGGAGATCTAACGGTCGTCGGTATGTTTCTGTTCACTTACTCCACCATGAACTTCTGACTCATTCTCTCTCCAACTCGGTTCTTTAACTCAGATCTCTCTCTATCTCTATCTCTATCTGTGTCTGTGTCTGTACATTTTCACGTTGCGTCTCTTCACTTTTGCTTTTCTTTTATTTTTCTTTTATTTTTCTCTCGCCGTTTTAGAGCTAGAGATAGAGAATGGTTTTGCCCCTGTTTTTCATTTAAATTACTTTTATGCCATTCTAACTTTTTTTTTTAAATAAATTTAATTTTTATTTGTTTCTTAATTTAAATGGAGATTTTATTTACTGTGTATTTGGAAATTTATTTATTTTAATTAGTGTTCTGCTTAATAAGTGAAAAGGGATTAAGATAAAATAATTACAAATATCTTCAAAGTATCTAAAAATATTAAAATAATAATAAATGATTCTATAAATTCTTAATATTTTATAAAATTTATCAAAAAAATTAAACAAAATTGCGTTCCTATAAAATTAAACTAAATAAAAATGATTTATTTAAAAAATATTGATTTATATTAATGCATATTTGAATTTTTATTTAAAAATGTTTTAATCGATGAAACTGATGTTAAAATCTAGTTTCTTGCTCCTCATAACCTTCTGTCTGGTTCATTTTTGGTTTTGATATTTTATTAATAAGCGCGATTTTCTAATTGCCCTTTGCGATTCAGTTAATTACATTTGTGCCACTTATTACGTGAAACGGTGAAAGTAATGGACTCTCAGTCTCAGACAATTTTTAGCTTTTTATGATATAATATTATAATTTCATATCAAAAGGTCATTTTATATTTCCACCATATATTATCTAGTAATTAAATAGACAATTAAGTATGGATAAATCCCAATTAAAGTAAAAAATAGCGTAATGTTTTATATTTTTTTATTAACTTTCCAGTATATATATATATATATAATATATATATATATCTATATATAATATATATATATTATATATATATATAAATATATATATTTATATATGTAGACGTAAAAATCTACCTGTACGGAAGGGGGGTCTGATCCGTGAAGTCCAGGCACTAGCGATCTGCTGCACCTGCACACGTAGAGAAACACACGTGAAGCGAACGGAAAACACCGGGGTGGTGTTTGCCGTAGGCACTCCGACGCTCAAGTCAGTAAGGCTGAAAGGGGCTAATATAGTGAGGGCTAAGGAATAAGAGATTACCGGAAGTCTAGTCGGGGACTGTGACTACGGCGAATTAGTGAAACTCTCGAGGTGAAGAGTCTCGGGTTAAAGGTGTAATGTTGATGTCCCTTGTGAGAGGGCTGGCTGGTTATATAGTGATCGTCTGGTCTCCCAATCTGGTAGAAGTAGGAGTCCTAGTACGACTCTGATGCAAACCCTAGAAGAATTAGGGTTGCAGTAAGCTGTCTTACCAGTGTCCGTATAGGAAGGTGATTCTGATTAGGAGAGTAACTCCGAATAGGAAAGTGATCAGGAATAGGAAGGTATTCTGAGGGGGTTGTGGGCTTTGGAATTGTCCATGGACCCAGGACATGGGCCAGGTTTGAGAGGCTTGTGCCCGCTCAGTTTGGGCCGGTTTGTTCCTCATGTAAAGAGGAGTACGGTTGGGCCTTTGCAGGACTGGGTTTGGTCCTCCTTCGCTAATGGTCCTTTTCCCTATTTGGGCCAAGGACGATTTTTGGCCCTAACAGTTTGTCCCCCACTCTCTGAGTTGAGTATCTCAAGTTAGAGTAGGTCGTGCTCAAGGCGAGCTCGCTCTTTCCCCTGGATGAGCAATTTTGGAGAGTGGACTTGACTTGAGTGATTTGACTGGGTCTTGGTCGGTGTCCATTCCCGAACAAGAACGTGCCGCCACGCGTTGTGCCTGATCGGTTCGATGAGCCTAAGAGCCGAAAACTAGGTCGGGTCGCTCGGTACGTTAGCACTATTATCGCGGAAACATCGCGAGCGGTTATTCGTCCTTCCAGGTCAGGCGAAACCCAGGAAGTTTGCCGAGAACCATTCGGCGGGCTGTAGGGACGACAAGATAGATGGGAGAGACCACATATGTTGACTCTTCGTTCGCTCGGATGGGCGAATGACGAGGTTGGGGGCTTCCTAAAGGTTTAACTCCGGGCTACGCCGAGACTGTGCGTCCATCGTTCGGGCGCTCGGGTCGGTCGAACGCGAGACGTCTGAGAAGGCCCCTGGCCTGAGAGAGTCGATCGGTGGGATGGAACGAACGGCCATGTGCGCTAATATGCTATCAGTACGTACTGCTGGATGTCCGGTTGAGTCGGTCGGGAGGGTTGATCGACCGAGATGCGGAATTTGTACGGTTCCACGATTTCCTAGGTGGTTAGGATCGCTGCCACGGGTATGGTGAGAAATGATTCGTCGTTCGAGAGCGGGGGAAACGAAGAGACTCTGACAACGATCTGAATCATAGCCTGCCACGGGTCTGCCTTTTTCTTTACAAAATTGGGGAGCAGACTGTTCATCTTCCATTTCGTTTGGTTTTGCGTTTCTCTCAAAAATCCTCCTCCCTTTTTTCTGCGTTTTTGTCCCAGGTTCTTGAGCGAAAGTGATTCTATTTCGGTCTTCCAAGGTAATTTCTTCTTTTTGGCGTCGTTTTGTTGTTCTTTAGGTAGATTTTTCTTTTTGATAGGATTTCTGGAAAGTAAACAAGGAAGTTTTGAGTTTGGTGGGTTTAGACTGGGTTTCTAGGCGTTTTTGGTGTTAGGATTTTGGAGAAATTTTCTGGGTTTGAGTTTTCCAGTGAATTTCCGGGAAGAATTTGGTTGTGGGTGAGTTTCTGGGGTTTGGGGTTTAGGTCTGGGAGAGAAGTCGATTTTGGCGTGGTTTGGGTCGGTCGGTACGTCTGACCGAGTGGCGAAAAGTGTGATTAGGGGAACGGACGCTCAGGGCGAGTGAGTAGTGATCAAGGACAGCAGACTGCTAGAATGAAGTTCTAGGCGGTCGGTCGTCTGGGGCGAACGAGTCGGTGTCTTTGAGTCTGGCTGAGGTTTGTTCGGGTGGATAGGTCGAGCCAGAGGAGACTCGTTGTGGTGAAGACAGGCTAGTTCACTTTCGGTCGGGCGGTAGGTGGGCGGACTGGCGTTCCAATTCGGTAGAACGGTCGACGAGTCTGAAATGTTTGGAGGGCAACGTTCGGTGTTGAAGGGCGATCGGGTTTACACTGATTTTCTTGAGAAGTCGGTCGGTTGGTCGGGCGAGTGGTCCGATGTCGAGTGATGCGTCGCAAGTTCGAGTCACGAGGTTGACTTGGGGGACGAGTATGAGCGAGCCCACTATGGTGGTAATGCCTGAAGGGGATGTTCCGGTCGGTGTGCGACCGAGTTAGTGTGGCTGCTCCAGGCGAGTGGAGCTGGGCCGAGGGGAGTGGGTTCGGTAGGGAGTGGGGAAGACTCCGGAGCTGACGGACCCTACGTCGGTAGTAGCTCTGAGGAGGGGCCGAGCCAGCAGGGTGGGATTCTGACCAGGGACTATCCGCCCGTGCTGAGGGACAGTGACGTGTGGCGCTCCGTACCTGTATCATATCCCGGCTCCGTTAAGGTTCGGACCCCGGGTCGTACGAACAGTGTTGATTGGGAGGCTGAAGGTTGGGTCTCGTATATGAGAAGTGGTTTCACGATGGGTTGAGGGTGCCTGTGCCTCGCCTAGTCTGGGAGGTGTTGAATCATTTCATTATCGCCCCTCCCAGCTTATGCCGAACGCCTGGAGGCTGTTGATGGCTTTGGAGGATCTGTGTGTTCGGGCATGTGTGTTGGGTTGCACGAGCTGCTGTACTCGACTTCCTGAAGGAGAACGATAAGGAGAAGGGCCGATATTACTGAACTTGAGGCCGATCGGTCTCATCTGGTCAACGACTGCGGTCCAGTGACAAGAAATGGAAGATCGATACTTTTTCTTGAAGGGTCAGGCCGTTTGGGGATAGGGGCATGGGCGAGATCCGATGGGTGGAGACGTACCACTGGTGAGGACTTCGTTGTCTTTCGTACTTTGATTACTAAATCTTGATTATGTTTTCTGCTTGCAGAGCTCGATTTCAATCGGGCCGGCAGGAGTGGGACGGCTTGGACGTGGTGACCAGAGGGTGTTACCATCCCATTAGAGCAGAGGGACTGGCGGAGTAGTGCTAGCAGAATCAACTTGAGGACCAGCATTCTTGGGCTGGGGTAGAAGCTATCCAGAGAGGTACTCCTTCCCCACGCTGAAGCAGACTTGGGATGTGCCCTAAGTCGATACTGCAACCATGTCATTTTTGGTGAGTCCGAGCTGAACCACTAACGTTGGAGAGTTTGCACTTGCAGAGTCGCTGATGAAGAAGTGACCGTCCCGAGCGCGAGCGAGTCTATCGCCCGACGCCGCGAGAAAAGGAGGAGAGAGTCGGGGGCTAGGCAGATGTGAGTGTTGAGGAAGTATTGGCGACACCGCCTAGTCAGCAGCAGCCGAGCCAGCAGCCGTCCGCGGGAGTCGGGTCGTCATCGGCGGCGTTGTGGAGAGGAGGCGGGACCATTACTATCACGATTCCGGCTACTGCATCGACTACTCTGATGCGACGTCTATGGTAAGCTGGCCGAATCTTTCTTGTTCCCGGCGGACGAGGCGCGCCTAAACCAAATGGGGGCGGTCGCTGCCGCTGATTGGGGTGTATCCGCGCAGTTCAGGTATGGCAGTACTAATTTCATTTTCCGTTTTTGTCTGGCTTCACTTGCTGAGTTCGTTGTGCAGGTACTCACTAGCAGTCTTCATCTGAGGAAGTCTGTCGCGGCGCAGGAGAAAACGGATACAGGAGTATCCAAGGCCAACACTGGTTTGCGCCAGAGGGAAGCCGCAGCCCGGAAGGCTGAGCAGGAGAGTCAGCAGCGCCTCGGGAGAGTGAAGCCGAAGTCGAGAGGTTACGGCGCGAGTTGGCCGGAAAGACGGCTGAGATCGAGTCCCTCAGGGAGCAGTGCATCTCCATGCGTGATGAGCTATCATCAAGGCCCGAGGTGAGCTCATGCTGGAGTTCAAGGAGGACGGCCTTCATGGGATCGGATGAAGACATTCTGCTATGCAGGAGTGCTGGAAGAAGGGACTGGTCATTTGGGGGGCCAGGGCGAGCAGCGTGCGCCGAAT